TTACATTTTTACATAAAAATATAATTGTTCCTGTTGCCCCAGCGGTAAGACTGAAGCAGTGGCTCTTCAATTAGAAGACATGAGCTTTTTAAATGTCAGAATGGAAAACCAACACATCAACGTAGCTATTTGATTTTAGGGGAGGAGCTGTCTAATGGATCCTGTGTGATCTGCCAATTCTGATCTCAACCACTGGAATTTCAAATCCTAGAAATGGCTGGAAGGGATTTGACAAGAGATATCTCTGCACTGAGGTGGGACAAGTATACATATAATATGTGCTAAAAACCCTCTTGCTACCACCATCTCTGAAACTTTCTTTAACAAGTCTGTGACCACCTACCATTTTAGTTGTCACTATGTGCCATTGAGAACGTCACTGCAGCAGCAGGATTAGAACTCTGATCCTCCTGCTCCAAAAGCACAATCCCTTAACCCAGAGAAGAATTTCCTTTAGCTGTTAGCAATATAGGGTCTATGACTCACTGAAAGGCCATTTTAATTCTCTTCAGCAGAGGGCAGTGGTACACAGCCGTTCTAGCCAGTACATTACTGTTTTTAGGATTGCTGAGGTAATTAAGTGCAGCCTTTTCTTAAGCTCATGTAAGCTTGCAAAAGACTCAAGCAGCTGTTTTGCTCTTTTCACAAGATAATAGGAACCATCTTGCACATCTCTCAGGAAAAAATAATGAAGCACCTCCTTACATAACACAAAGTGGTGACAAATATGATAGCTGCAGATTTAGTATCACCACTTGCAGAGGATGGCAAATGTAATTTGTGGAGGTTTTTAAAAGTTGTAATTTAAAACAACCAGTTACTATGGCAATAGCAGCAATAAAAATTAAGCCCATCTGGCACAATGGTGTGGTCCAAATTTAATTAAATGCTTAGCATGTTTTATTACAGTCCAGAAGAAAATGAAGTTTTACAGAATTCAAAAGAAGTCTGATTGACTGGACCCCAGTCCTGCTCTCATAACTAGGGCCCTATCAATTTCACAGCCGTGAAAAATGTGTCCCAGATTGTGAAATAAGCCTTTCCCTGTGAAATCTGACCTCCCCTTTGCTGCAAGTCCCTGCCAGGCTGGGGAGGGACAGGACTTGTCCTTCCCCTGCAGGGCTGCTGTGGGGGAGAAATGGGGCAGATCAGACTCACCACCTTTTGGGTTGGGACCTCCACAGTTACAACACCGTGAAATTTCAGACGTAAACAGCTGAAAACTTGAAATTGAACTGTGAATTTGGTAGGACCATTGACTTATGAGTAGGGCAACATTCTTGCTTCAGAGGGAAATGTAAGAGGGCTTCATCGGGGTGCTGGAACAATTTTTATAGTGGGGGTGCTGAGAGCCATTGAATCCAACTGTAAACCCTGTACATGATGAAAACCACTTCAAGCCAGGGAGTGCGGCAACACCCTCAGCACACCTAGTTCCAGCACCTATGGGCTTCACTCATACAGGGCCCATTCCAACTATCAATTTCTATTTCAAACTAAAAAAGCAGCCCACAAATCTGTGCTTAGGTACGGCATCTCAACTAGTTCAGTGGTTCAGTTCACAAACAGCAGTATCTAAACTTCTGGTGAGAGTCAAGCTCACTCATGGACAGGCTCTCATAAAACTGTCATCTCTACTTCTAGTCACATCTGAAACTCCTCACAGAATAGCATTTCCTGTGCCATTTCAATGCCTGGTTCCTGTTCTACTTGGAAACCAGAAACTTATAGAACTATCTTTATGACCATGGAGCATAAAGTAGGCTTACATCGAGTTTGGTTTTAGAAACAGTCAGAGAGGACGTTCTTATTTTTCAGAAGAAGCCCATGGTCCAAACCTAATGAGTTCTTTGGAATTGAGTGCTGCAGACATCCTTTTATATTCACAGAAACACTTTGTGGTGATACAATTAAGGTTATTACTAATTTCAGAACAGTACTATTGTAGTTATGGAAACAGACAGGGGAGGTAATTTTCTAGTGAAGTCTCCACAAAAGCCTTGACCCAAGTTTTCCAAAAGTGAACAGTGATTTTATTTATTGGTGCCTACACTTTTGGATTCCAATGGAAGGGAATCCTAAAGGCTCTGACTTTCAGAGGACAGGTGACCAGCACTTTCAGAAAAATCAGGCCCTATCAAGATGTCATTTCAGGCACCCAACTACTAAGGCACCTAATAACTAGTTTGTTTGGGGGGGGGGGGTTGGTTAAAAAGTCTTGATTCAAATCTTTCCCCACTGCCCATGTTAAAGATTCACAGAAAGCATTGCAAAGATGGTTGGATAGAAATTCCTTTGACTCAAATTTTTGTGAATTTTTTTTTCTCCACCTCTCAGTGGATAGCTCAGTGGTTTGAGCATTGGCCTGATAAACCAGGGTTAAGAGTTCAATCCTTGAGGGGGCCACTTAGGGATCTGGGGCAAAATCAGTACTTGGTCCTGCTAGTGAAGGCAGGGGGCTGGACTTGATGACCTTTCAGGTCCCTTCCAGTTCTATGAGATAGGTATATCTCCATATATTATTATTTTATTATTCATCCAGCTCTAGCCCAGGCACCATAATTTCTCTAGAACAACAAAAGTTAATCCAATATGTTAGGAATGTGTCTTAATTTTGCAAGGTTGCTCTCATCCTCTATAGTGAAGCAGGTTCCTCAGGTTCTCTCAGGACACTCTCATTCTTAGTTGCATTTTTATCCTTGTGTGGCTTTAATTCCCCAACCTAAGCATTACTCCTGGCTAACAGAGCACTGATCAACCTGATGCCACTGTTCGGCCTGAATGCATGAAATTGGGACACACCAGGAGAATTGTTTTCTATGGGGGATGCTAGGCCTTCCACTAGCAAATCTCTGCTCTGCTCCAAATTTCACAGCTAACGCTGCGGGATCACAGCAAGTGCTGACTATAGTACCCTACCTCTGGCTCTGTGGGTAGGGTCAGGATGCACAGTCTCCTCCAGGGCTCTTGATTGACTTCACCACTGTTTTGACATATCAAAGGTCTGATTTCCCTGAGCGTCCCATAATCCTTCCAATTCAATATGCCCTGCCAAGCCAGTGAGCTAGCCTTTATCACCCAAAACATAAAAGCCAAACAATCCCATGGCCCTGTTTAACACAGTGTGTCAGTGTTCCCACTGCAACCTGCTTTGTAAGGCGTACCCAAGATACTTACCAAAAAGCTAGTAAATCTGCTCTGAGTCTCCCAAAATTAAATTCCCAGTTCGATACCCACTGTCATTTCTGCTAGTGAATGGAATGCAGAGGAAGCAGTTGTCATGGATCACAAAATCGCATGGAGCCACATAACAAAACATGAACCAGGAACTGAAAACGCTGCACAGGGTTTTCATTTTTGATCAGATAATGTACCTAACTTTGAAGCTCTAAAAGGCATTTAGTGTCAGCTACCTGCTAACAGTTGGTAATCTGAGTTCTCTTCAGTGCAATGCCTGTGAGTAGTTAACTAAACTACTGTAGGTAATCGGAGTTACCTGTGAGAAAGAAATACTGTGGTTCAGTAGCCAGGATTCTTTTCTACTATGATTCCAGAGACACAGAGTGGAGAATATTATCCCCTTCTTTCTCTTTCACAAATCTGTCAGCATAAAGGATCATTTTCCAAAAGTCAGTTTTAGGTCTAAGGATCTAGTAACCCCTTATTTCAACTGAAATGGCTTAAGAATTAGACACACTGGAATATTTGGGTTCTCATGCATAATAACTAGACATTTGATCAAATGGCTTTTATAATGCTAGAAATATAATGGCCCTGTGGGCAGCCAGCCATAAAATTTTATGAAAAAATTTCAGAAGGAATATTCTCCAGTCATTAGAGGGAAAACTCCAGTGTAATATAAATATTCTTGACTTGTTGACCATTATATTTAGAGTATTGAGAGAACCCATAATTACTTCTATATATGTATGAATGTATTTCAAAGTGCTCTGTGGGTGTTTACAGTGTATGTAAAATAATTTAAAACCCAATCCTGCATTGTGCTCCATGATGGCAGACCTGTGTGCATGCACTGAGCTGAGGGCAAGATTGAAGGCATTAGGTAGCTAAAGTATTGTAACCAATCACTGGCATTTTCCTTTTAAGAATGAATCAAAATAATCCAATTATTTCTATATTGTGGGCCAAATTCCATTCTTGAATGTCCCACGTGGATGTAGACTTTTGTCAGTGGAAGCCATGCTGAAAACAGAACTTGGCTCCCAAAGATGAACTGCATAGGAGGGGAAAAGAGCTTGTGGCCTCAGTTTGTTTTTATTTGCGTTTTCAGAAAGGTGTGAAGTGTTCATCTACAAAGGAAATTCTTCTTGATGCTAGAAATTCAAATCTATTGTTTACAATGGAAGACTCTGGTGACTGGAGAACTAGTGAAAAAGTTGCATCACTGGAGAAGAATTTAAGCTGACCAGTTCGTGGGAGAGTGGATGTTCAGTAACTGTTTTAAACTCTTTGGGTTTGATTTTCTGAGTGGGAACATCTATGACTACAACTGCACTCAATGGGAGCTGTGAATGCTCATCACATCTGACATTCAGATCACTTGTACAACACCTATTTAACACCACAGATTAACGCGCACTTGGGTCTAACTCTAGTCTATACCTATGCCTGTATTGCTACATAGGCAAACCCTTCTAGTGTAGGTGCAGCTTATATGGGCAAAAGAGTGCTTTGCTAGCAACTGTCTCTACCATAGGGCTTTTGCATTTAAAAAAAAATTGCTCCCCAAATGACATTATACTGGCAAAAGTTTCTAGGGTAGACCTTGCCTTAGGTAAAGACTCAGCACATTCCCCCTTCCCCCACACCCTTTTCACAAGTAAGAACTCCCACACATATAGAAGACCCCCCAAGAAGTCCTCCAGAGAAAAACCCAGGAATAACCAGAGTCTAAATTCCTAAGGTAAAAGAGAAAAAAATCAGAGCGCTCCTATTTCTCCCCCCCCCCCCTTTTTAAAATAGCCTTCTTTCTACATCATGAAGACTCAAAGGAAAGCTCAAGCTCAGTTTAAATAACCTCTGCAGGTCCCCTTGTAATGAACAGACTAAGTTACCCTTAGGATTTCTCTGGCTTGGCTGCTCATGGCTATGCGAGGAGATAAAGCCTCAATCAAAAACACTTCGGGTTATTTGCTGACTTCTGGCAGCAGGATATTCATAAGCCTTTCGGCATGAATGGTCAGTGGATCAGCTGTCACAAACCTTGCTTCTCAAACTCTTCAAAAAGGTTCAGGCTGGTAATGCTAGGGCCAGTGAAGATGATGTAGTTTTTTCCTGATGCATTCTGACAAAGGCTCTTGGCCACCATACTGTGGAGTTGGGGCTTGTTCTTCAAAGCATCCAGTCCGTCAGCACCGCCTCCTTCTTTTAGATGGACATATATCTTAATGAGCAAGTAGAAACAAGAAGACAAGTCAGTGTGGTTAGAACGGATCAGGCAGGAGCCACGCAGTTGCCAAACCCCTTGCTCAGCTTTCACTGGAGATGAGCTGAAAAATTAAGGCAGTAGATACCTGTTTCAGATTTAACCCCTAATACACCTTTTATGACTGGTGCCTTTAAATGACTTTGGAATAGCTGGGGCAGGTTTGGAATTTTCTGCTGGGGCAGCTATTGGGAAATACAGATCTATGCCTAAGATTAAGGCCTGCTTGAGGTTGCTGTTGCTATTGCGTAGCTGGAAAACCATTTGTCAGGTAGTAATAAACCACGACTCCTAAAGAGAGCTGTATGTTGTGTGGATCCTATATAGACTTCATTGTTGTCAGTAAAGGGAGAACTTGGGACCTTCTGCTCTGAAATCACAGGCCTCTACCAGATGACCAGAAGGACTCTGTCTGCTAGCTTTACTGTAATAGAGTTCAGCTGTATATGCTCTTGCAGCAGACACTAAAGGGCGACATGACCATGCTGATGCCAGCATGACACTTTCTCCAGTACAAGCCAGTGGTGTCCTTACACACCATTCTACCTGGAATCTTCAGGGATAGCTCTAACTCTCAGCATTTTTGTCCAGATCATGACTTAAAGACAACCCATCAAAACAGATTGAACAAGGGGAAAAGGTACATTAAACTGGCTTTAACAGTCTTAAGCATCTGGCTCCTTTCTAGCTGACTGCAATCCTTACAGATACTGTATTACTGCCATAGTATCTTAAAAACTAACAGCTACCATTGTCCAGGCAATGTTCCTTCTGTCCTTCATAATACTCGGTCACCATCCACACAAGGCCATTTAAGTGGATATCCAATGGCAGGAATGTCTTTGCCTCTGGTAAAATGAGTTGCTGATGACAATAGTCCGATTTGCAAGTGCACAGGTATGTATAGCACAACTGGCCTGCTTGTTGAGAGGTGAAGGACTGAAATGGCACAGAGGCCAGACCAGCGCCTCACTCTGCAGATGGTCACTCTAGGAATGGGTTATGGCACGTTAGTTGGGCACTAGAGGAAAGCACACCTCTTTTCATTGTAGAAATAGAGGACTTCAGTTTTCATTTATTTTATTCATACTACTAGAAAGCAGCTCTTCCAGTGGCTTAGCTGCTCATACAAACATTTGAATTGTATACATCTAGGCTAAAATCCCAGACACAAATAATTTAGCAATCTTGACCCAGAAGACACAAATCACCTCTGTCTCATCTGCCCACCCTATTTCTTGATCCACTCACTTTCCCCCAAGCCCCCAAAATAAATGACATGGAAGGCAGGCTGTAAACCTCAACAACTTTGGGTTCTGATGGACCAAAGGAAGGAGTGACTTCCAGAGCTGAAGATCCTTTGCCAAAAATACCACCACCAGCTCCTCCTCCTCCCCCCAACTTTTAAACCAAGGAGCTGTTAGCTCTCAGTCCTTCACTGATCACAACAGTGGGAGCACCATCTGGGGAAGAGATCTGGGGTCTCAATTTCCAGGAACTGCCAATCCAGCATCATCCACCAAAATTCAATTCAATTAAACAATGGGCCTGATCCTCCCCTTGCTCTCAAAGTCAGCAGACACACATTCGTGTAAAGGAGAGGAGAATCTAGCCCTATATTCTGAATCCTAAATATTCTTAATTTTATTTGTTTATGAAGATCTTAAAAAAAACAAAAAAAACCCCCAAACTCATGAAAAATAAAGTGGTCAAAATTTTCAAAAATGCCTAAGTGACTTGGGAGCCTGAGTCCCATTGACTTTCAATGAGACTAAAGGTACATCTACACTTCTGGCACTGTGTAGCGTAGACATTGCACAGCCAGCTAGCATGGGTATAAACAGCAGTACTAATGGTAAGGCACATCGTAGGCGAGTAGAGTAGATTAGAGTGCCCTACATGCCTGAAACTGCAGGGTATATACCCTACATGGCTCTCTACATGCCCAACCAGTGCCTCCCAAGTCTACACTGCTATGTACTGTCCCATAGCTTCCCCCCCTGCTGGAGCCTTTCCCCATAACAGTGAAAGGCTCTGGCACCAGGGAGGCAGCAGTGAAAGGCACCAGCAGCAGGGAACTACCAAAGCCTTTCTGTGGTATGTAGCTACATGGCGCAGTGACAAGACAGCCTGCCTCACTGCAGTGTGTAGCTACACCTGTACTGTCTGTACTCTACACGCTGCCTCAAATGTAGACATAGCCTTAGACTCCTAAACCACTTAGGTGCTTTCAGAAATTTTACCCGTTTTCATTAGAGCAAAGATTGAGACGTTCAAAGTCACTCAGAGGATTTACGTGAACGCTCATTCATTTTTAAACTGGAATTGTGCTTCTAAATCCCCTTGTCAGCTTTGGAAAACTTCATCCAGAGTCTGCAATCATTCAGAAGATCATTCCCTGCATGTTTGTATGCCCACGGTTTTTAACCTTTCCTCCACAGGTTAGGTTTTCTAAACCTTTTATCATTTTTGTTACTTTCCTCTGGACTGTGTCCAATTTTTCCACACTTTTCTTAGTGTGTGGCACCTAAAACTGGACACACTACTCCAGCAGAGGCCTCCCCAGTGCCGAATAGAGCAGAAATCACCTCCTGTGTCTTACATACAATACTCCTGTTAATACATCCCAGAATTATATTGGCTTTTTTTTTTTTTTGGCAATTGTATCACATTGTTGGCTCATATTAAATTTGTGATCCACTATACCCCCTCCTCTTTTTAAGCAGTACTACTGCCTAGCTAGTTATTCTCCATTTTGTATGTGTGCATTTGATCTTTTCTTCTAAAGTGTAGTACTTTGCACTTTATCTTTACTGAATTTCATCTTGTTGATTTCAGACTAATTCTTCAATTTGTCAAGGTGACTTTGAATTCTGATCCTGTCCTCCAAAGTGTTTGCAGCCGTTCCAGGCCTGGTATCCTCTGCAAATTTTACAAGCACTCCATTGTCCAAGTCATCAATGAAAATATTGAATAGTACTGGACTCAGGACAGACCCCTGTAGGACCCCACTAGATATGTCCTTCTAGTTTGACAGTGAACCAGTGATGACTACTCTTTGAGGATAGTCTTTCAACCAGTTGTGCACCCACTTTATAGTAATTCAATCTAGACCACCTTTCCCTAGTTTGCCTATGAGAACGTTATGTGGGACTGTGTCAAAAGCCTTACTAAAATCAAGATCATCACATCTATTGGTTTCCTCCCTATCTGCCACGCCAGTAACCTTGTCAAAAGAAGGAAATTAGGTTGGTTTGGCGTGAGTTGTTTTTTGGCAAATCTATGCTGTCCACTATTCCTTATCCTCTAGGTGCTAACATATTGATCGTTTAACAAATGGTTCCAGTATCTTTCCAGGTATTGAACTTAGGCTGACTGATCTATAATTCCCTCGGTCCTCTTTCTTCCCCTTTTTAAAAACAGGTACGATGTTTGCCTGTCCCCACTCTCCTGGGACCTCACCTGTCCTTTATGAGTTCTCAAAGACAATCGCTAGCAGTTCTGAGATTGCTTCAGCTAGTTCTTTAAGTACCCTAGGATGAATTTCATCAAGCCCTGCCAACTTGAATACATCTAACTTATCTAAATAATCTTCAACCTGTTATTTCCCTATTCTGGCTTCTGTTCCTGCCCCCTTGTTGTTAATATTGTGTCAAGGATCTGGTCACCATTAGCCTTTTTAGTAAAGACTAAAACAAAATAGGCATTGAACACCTCAGCATTCTTGATGTCATTTGTCATCACTTTCCTTTGTCTTTCTTGTGCTCCTAAAGTCTTTAAAAAACACTTCATATTTAAAAGGAAGCCTAAATATATTCTACTATCCAATATCCTGCTCAATTAGGGTTTGTTTTTTTTAAATACAAGACTAGTCTCCAGGTGAGGGTTGAAGCAGATTAGTCGGAAATATTGTGTTGCCTCTGACAATGCTCTACTTGTTTTGCATATACAGTAGAACCTCAAAGATACAAACACCAGAGTTACAGACTGAAGGGTCAACTGGACACCATGGGGTGTAAGCTATCAGGCAGCAGCAGAGCCCCCCCCCCCCAAAATGCAAATACTGTACAGTGCCTGTATTGCATCTTAAAGATAGGCACATCTGGGCTGCCAGTCCCCACCCCCACCCCCTACTCCCCACAGTGCAGGGCCTTGGACTCCGTGGGGATCCTGGCTAACAAGTAATCAGCTATTGCTGGAAAGGGAAGATTGATGAGGAGGCTCTACAAAGTCTGTAGTTTAAGTTAGGTCTCACCCATTAGAAAGTATATTTTTACTATTGTTTGTTTGTAACCATTCCTATCTTTATCCCTTCTATTTGGTATCACTTAACTTATGTCCTTTTGTTAATACACTTGTTTTATTTTAAACCAAGTCAGTGCTGTGTTTGAAGGAAGTGGTGTGTGTACCCTAGTTAAGTTAATAAGCTGTAATGTACTGACTCTTTAAAAGAGCAGTAAACTAAATATCTTCTGCAAATATACAGTGGCAGGGGTTGTGTATTGCAAAGATACAAAGAACAGTTCAGAGGCTGGAGTTCACTGATTGTTACCAGTGTTACCAGGTGAGGTTTGGGCCAGGAAAGCCTTGAGGAGTTTTCTGGGGAGGAAGACAAACTAGTGTGGCCGGGAGCTGACACAGTCTAATCGCCAGCAAAGCTCACTCTTGCTGAGGCAGAGAGGTAACACAGTGGCTCACCGCTCTGAGTACCCCAGAAGAATGTTACACCCATGCATTCCCATGGGAAACTGACACACAAAGATAATATAATCTATTTCCAGCAGCAAGTCTAGCCTAAAGCATAGGCACTATTATAGAGACAGCGGAAGTGATATTTCTCAGGTCTCTGGAAAATTCATTTTACTGTGTGACATTTTTCAGTAGCTATGGATCCGTTGCCATTGCAATTCACCGCTGCTGTTTTCCATAGCACAGTCTGCTGCAGAGGCTATAGTCCA